TATATTTTAAATATATATATATATATTTAAAATTATATATATATATATATATATATATATATATATATATATATATATATATATATATATATATATATATATATATATATATATATATTTATTTACATGTAATACTCTGTAGTTCATGACATAGTCCGGGCCCAACCCAAATACCAGCTATTGACGAAAAAGTAATAGAATAAGCGAGCCACATGTCCATATAAAAAATTGAAGCATTCATTTAGATTATAGATACGCCCAAAAACGATAAAATTTGAGGATGCATATTAGAAATTTAGAATGATCGGCCAACTTTGAGAAAACAAATGGCCCAACATCGTACAGAAAAGGCCATCAAGGTGACAATTAGCTTGGCCCAATTAAACTTAAGGTTGGTAACAATTGGCTTAGCCCATTTTAACTGGAGTTGGTAACTCACTCTCCTAGTCTCCTCTCAAGTCTCAACCGTCCGAGGAATAACTCCTTGTGCTCTGGTTACTGTAGACTGTAGAGCATAGTGAGCCGTCGTTGTACAGGTGGAAGCTAAAGGTGAGGAGTTGAGGACGATTGTGCGGTGTTAGCGCGCTTTGTGATGTGGCGGATCTTGACAAATTTTTTTGGGGGCCGATCGAATTATAGTTCAATTATTTCTTAACTATCTACGATTTTACACTATTCATGTATTACAATGAAATATTGAATTTACTAATATATAAATGTTATCCATGTTGGATAGGTGTTACGGAGTATAAAACAACCCGTCAACCAACAAAAAAAACATATTCAAATTTTGACTTGTATGAAACATTAAATTTAGCCTGACTTGATACAGTGTATGTGTTAAAGTGTAACTTAATAAATTAACAATATAAAAGTTGCACTAACAAGTATGAAATATTGAAATCTATAACAACATTGCGAATAAGTAAAGTAAGAAGAAAGATACCACTAACTATATAGATATGCATGTATTTTTAATTGCTTGTGATGTAGTTGTCTCATTAAAGACACTAATTATAAGTAAAATAGTCTAAGTAGATAATAGATTTTGGATCAAAATCTAAGGGGGGGCTAAACCCAGCCTTGCCCCTTAAAAGATCCGCCACAAGTGCTAGGTCATGTGAAGAATAAGTTACATCGTGTCATAGTGGGCTTATGCCAATCTTTCAAAACCTGGTCATGCCATATATTGCTTAATACTAGTAATTATTATATCTTCAATCAATTTGTTAAGAAATAAGCAGGTCTATCTGTCATGCTAGCGCAAAGTTTGAGTCAAAATTTTGAAAATGATGTTCATTTATGTTATTTATGTTATGACATATCAACGTGCCTCTGCCCTTTAGTGGTATCAAATCAGGCTCATTTATGTTATATCTAAACGACCCTTATATCAGCTCAACCCATGTCCATCTCTGACAACAACAACAACAACAACAACAACAACAATAATAATAATAATAATAATAATAATAATAATAATAATAATAATATTGTTTCTTGGTATGTACTTTGTGTTAATCTTTTTTTTTACTTGTTATAATAGAGAGAATTTAGTAAAAAATTATGGTCAAGAAAACTTATGTAAATATCGTAGAAACTAACAGCATGCGCTAAGGGCGGACCTATTAAGGGTCCTGGGTGGCATTGCCCCCCCCCCCCCCAAAAAAAAAATAATAATTTTTTTTTATTTGGTATAAATTTATATATTAAATACAATTTTAATGTAATAAATAACATTAATTTAGCTTTGTCACAGTACAGTGATAATGCATTTATATTATGCAAAAAGTCTTAGGTTCAAGCCTTCGGATAAGCATTTTTTTTGTTTTTATATTTAGTGTCCCTCCACACTAATTATTCTACATCCACCGCATGACATGCGCCAGGCGACTGTAGTGCTGTTGACTTTTGTACCACCAACTCAACTCACAGATAAAGATAAGCAGCCTTTAGCAGTTACTCCTATTAACGTTGCCACAAATAATTGAGTGTTGAATATGAATTGGTCCCTTGTCCAATACCGACCATACCAATAGACAATGATCTACATGTTATTGTTTGCTCCAAAAAAAAAAAAAAAAAAAAAAAAAAAAAAAAAAAAAAAAAAAAAAATCTACTAGTTATTATAAAGAATTCAACTAATCATTTCATCATTTGATTGGTTGTTGGGTCCTTAAATTTTCAATCAGGAATAATCCTACATCCACTTGGTTTAAGAATTAAGAAAATAATGTACTGTAGTTATTACCGTTTTTATTTACTTCGACTCACTTACTGTTTTACTATTTATGTAGTCAAAATAAATTAAATTTAACTATATTTCATAATTCACATAAAAATTAAAATAAAAATTAAAACTAAGTTGCATACTTGCATGTGGAATCTTGTTTTACTCAACTTAATATAAAATTGGAAAATTTGTCTAAAAAATAATACAAACTTTAAACGGTCTGCCAAAAACAAGTCGATATTTTGATTATTTCTAAATTATACAAACTTTGGGGAGTATCCGCTTTAAACAAGTTATGACATGTTAGTAACCTGAATGACCGGTTAAATTATTTTTTTTCCTTTTAATAAATTCATTTAACAATGTAATTAACTCTTAATAATTATGGTTAATTAACAATTAAAATTTTTTTAAAAAAATTTCTTCAAAAATAAAATATTTTTTAAAAAATTTATCTCTTTCACCAGCCACCCCAGCACCGGTGCTAGCCTCCTCCCAATACCACAGTACCAAACGTGCTCAGATTCCCCTTCCTAGTGTTGGCGCTGCCCCTCCTTTGTGCGTCACCCCATTCCATCTTCCCCGGCAACCAGCTAACCTCCTTAACCAACCAACCCCCCTCGCAAAACCACCAAAAATCAATCCCCCACCCTTAAAAAACCCTAACAAACGGTGGATGGGGAGGTCCGATAATTGAAATAATTTCAATAACAATTATTAATGATGTCTTTTCTAATAATTGAAATAATTCCAATGTCAAATAAGATTAAGGCTTTGTTTGATTGGTAATTAGATAATAGATGATTGATATAGTTTGTTATATTACTCATAATTGGATTGACTAGGTAATTGCATTAGTTGGTTTGCTTTGATTAGCTGGTTGTGCAAAAGTGTTTGATAAATAACAATTCATTAATAAATTAATTATTTTAGTTTAAAAAATAATATGTGCAATAATTTTTTCTCTGTAGGCTAAATTAACACTACTTTTTTTCACAAATTTTAAAATAAAATAAACTTACAATTACTTAATCAATCCTTAAGAGGCCGTTTGGTTGGGGTTAATAATCAAAGGCAAAGGGAATGAACATGCCTCATTTTCTTTGTTGGTTTTATTTGTCACTTTTTTCATTCCCTTTACCCATTTTTATTTTTGAATTCACCCAAAATCATTCTACATTGATTCTCCATTCTCCTTAGTCTTTTCCATTCCCTTTCCTAAACCACCACCACCACACCACCATACCCACACCAACCACTACCTTACCCATTTAACCACATCGCCTAGCCACCTCACCGAAACTCGTCGCACCTCTCCCACTCCTTGTTGGAACTTGTCGCACCTCCCCCTCTCCTCACTGGAACCTATCACACCTCCCCTAAAAAATATCTCCCTACCCCGGAAAACCTTCCCCCACCCACAGAAAACCCTTTAAAACCATCCTCCCCCCCCCCTCTTACCCTCTAGGGTTTTGAAAGGGAAGGGATGATCGACGGTTTTCTAGGATTTTGCATGGGCGGGGGAAGGTTTTCCAAGGAGGGGAGGGGTTGGGGAAGATTCGATGACGGGCGTCGGGCGGTGAGTGTTGGTGAGATCGTGGCTGGGCGGTGGAGTGGTGGCAGGAGAAGTGGGAAAGAGTAGTGTGATGATGGTGATTCCCTTTGTTTTTATTTATTTATTTATTTTTTTAAAAAAAACAAACAACATACTATATGGAAAGAGTTTTTATTCCATTGGCTTTGTTCATTCCATTTCGTTTACTACTCTATGCAAACCAAACGGCTCCTTTTTTTTTTTTTTTTTTTTGTTCAATGGGACTTTTATTATTGTTAATACCAAAAAATTAAAGTTACAACACATTTATATCTATACTTTATTAGTATTTAAAAACACAAACCACAAATTTTTCATATGACATATGGCATCACAAGTCACTCAATACCCCATATGACACATGTCACCTCTCTTAATATTTATGTTTAAGTCTTTATACATTCTAAAACTTGCAAATTCAAGTAAGAAAATGAAGTGTGTTATTTCCACCATAATAAATTAAAATTCAATTAATTAGTACACAATACATAAAGATATAATTTACAATAAAAGTTGTCTTTTCATCCCCTAATTTAAATATAATTTAAACTAATATATCTTTTCATATCTTACAATCTTCAAGTATATATATGTAAATAAATTTCTTCATCTTCTTTCACAGTTTTACCTGAGTCTTTTTTTTTCTTTTAAGTTTTAGAAATAAAACAATTACTTCATATAAAAGCATACCTGTAAATGAAAGTAATTAACTCAAATAACCACCCGTGCATTGAACGGGCCAAAAAACTAGTTAATACTCCATCTGTTTCAATTTGTTAGTCCCATATACTATTTTGGGCGTTTCAAAAAGATATACCCATATTGAATTTATTCTACTTTTAACTTAGTTTTTATTTTTTATTTTATACATAATTAATTCTGATTGCTTAGATTAATTGATTATGAATTTAAAAAAATGACTCTAAGTAAAGAAATTACTCCCTTGATTTATGCAATTATGGCTAATGCTTTCCTAAAAAAAACAAAAAAGTTAAATAAGGCAAAACTATTTGTGAATTGTTTTTTTACTTTAATGCTAGATTCCAAATATTATCCTTTTCTTATTTTACGTGATTGATTCAATATGGGACTATCATATTGAAACGGAGGGAGTATGAAAAATTGAAAACTTTTATAGAAAATAAATCAATTTTGATGTTTAAGTCTTAATTACAGTAATTAACACATCGGTTTAATTTGACCAATAAGGGCAAAAAGAAACAACGTTTTCCCTCAACATTCACATTAATATAACAATTCCTTTACAGCCATCAATGACACAAAAACAATCAAATTAAAAATAAATAAATAAATAAATAAATAAAATGTGGTCAACAAAATAATTAAGCACACCTATTTAACCCCTCAAAAAATAAACATCAAAATCCCACAATAATCCATCAATCAATCATCCACTCCCACCAAACCAAACCCACCATTCTCAGAGCAACCCAGAAAAACCAAGAAATTGTCAAATAAAAATCAAATCTTTTTCCAAAAGAAATGGGGAAAAAAGCAGTGTTAATAGGAATCAATTACCCAGGAACAAAAGCAGAGCTAAAAGGATGCATTAACGATGTAAAAAGAATGCATGAATGTTTGATCAATCGTTATGGATTTGAAGAAGATGATATTACGATTTTGATTGATACTGACCGGTCTTATACCGAACCAACCGGTAAAAATATTCGACGTGCTCTTCAAAATCTGGTTCGATCTGCTGAACCTGGTGATTATCTTTTTGTTCATTATAGTGGTCATGGTACTCGTTTACCGGCTGAAACCGGTGAACGTGATGATACCGGTTTTGATGAGTGTATTGTTCCTTCTGATATGAATCTTATTACAGGTAATTTCATTTTTTTTATGATTTAATTTTTGGGTTGATTGATTTAATTTTTAGTCATTTTTTGATGTGGGATTTGTGTAATTTGATTGAAATTTGACTCAATGTGTTGCGTTGACTTTTTTGGATTGGTCAGCTTGATTATCGGATTTGTGTTTTTGGTTGATGATTTTTTTTTATTTTTAACTTTTTATTTTTTGAATTGGTGACTGAAAAACAGGGGGAAAATGAATGTTTTTAGATTAGAATAAATTTTAGAGTAATTTAATTGACATTAAAATTGAGGTATGTCAAAGTTATTGTTTGTACAAGTTTCTATTGTTTGTTTAGAATTCGGGTTCGAAACCATTTTCATTTTGAATTAAAGTTTCTGAATGGAAATCTAAAATGAAAATTTTAAAGCAAATATTATTTTAATTCAAAATGAAAATGGTTTGGAATCGTCACAAAAACAACCAATAGAAGGATGGAACCTCGTGGTATACAAGTGTGTTGATTCCAATTCCTTTACAGATATTCCCCTGATTCCAATTGGGATCATTAAATTATTCCTAGTATATGCAATATGCTTATTCCATTTGGTCAATATTAATTGATTCCTGAAATTTGGGGTGTGGTTGATTTTAGGATTTTAAAAGTTAGGACTTTAGAATTTGTACTAAAGCACCTTATTCACGGGTTCTAAACTTTTAAGTGGTCGTTTGATTAGAGGTAAGAAGTTACTTTTTCTAGGAAGTTCGACCTTTTGAAAGGATAGAAAGTAATTTAATTGACGACCCAAGTAGTCAATTAGTAGCATCTAATTTTTAGGTTGCCTAATTGTTTAGCAAACACTATTGCTAAAATGCTGCTACCTGTGACGTTATGTAAATTTGATCATGCACTAAAAAGCTACCCAAGAAGAAGAGCTGAATCTTGAGCTGCATTGTTGTTTTTTCAGTAAGCTACCCGAAACTGCTGCTCCCTACCTCACTATGACATTTGCAACTTTGAAGCTACACTCGAATTATATGAATACACTAAGGCTATGTTTGGATAACAAAAAATGGAAGGAAAGGAAGGGAAGGGAAAGGGAGGGAGACAAAGTTCCTTGTTTGGATAATATGTTGGGGGAGGGAAAGGGAGGGGGAGGGGGAGGGGGAGGGAGGGATCCATTTTCCATCCTCCTTTAATAAAGACCATCCCTTCAAAATTGGAGAGATTTGAAGGGAAAATGGAGCTCATCATTTCCTCCACTTTCCCTTCCTTCCCCTTCCTCCTATTCCCTCCCTTCCATTTCCCTTCTAATTTGTTATCCAAACATAGCATAAATCAAATTACACTGTCATAGTGACAATTAAAGGAGTGCTAAGTAGAATCCGAACTAGAATCAATGTTTTCACCTAGGCGCTTGTAGATGTAATTTAAAGGAATGCTAAGCTTAGTTTCATGAACATGTGCTCGGCAATCAATCAACCCTTATAAGAAAGGGAAAATGTGACCAAAAAAAATACTTCTATAACTTGTGAATAGGGTCATTGTGTATTTGTGTCCTGGCTTCTGAAGGCCGCGTTTCAGTAATAGAATCTGAAATCATATTAGGTATACTTACACATGGGATGATTCCATTTTGCTAACATGATTAGATTAGGCTTAAAAAAAACTAAGTCAGACTACAGCTAACTACTTTTTTATATGTTGTCTTAATTATAATTTTGTTGAACTGGCCATTTTATGAATTGCATTATCAACATGTGATATATAGTCTGAAAAAAAAGATTAAGTTGAAGGACTTGATATGGATTATAGACAATAAAAAGAGTAAGAATGAAGATGATTTCAGATATGATATACGCTATATACAATATATTGGGAAGGGGCAACAAGGACTTGTTCGATATGGTATACACTTGCCATGCCTCCTCATAAGTCGCATCATAAAATCTTGATCTGAATAAAACTTCAGATTCAGAGTGAGGATGCTGCAGGATATAGATTACGATTCAATGTTCTGTTCTACCAAAATTTGGTTGATAAAAGTCTGCTTAGCTTTCTAATCTTTTCTTTAAGAAAGTCTACAGTTACCTGTATTTTTTTTTTTTTTTCTATTTAACTCCTGTCTTGTAAGCTCTTGTGTAACTCACTGGAATTTGTTTGTCCTGCAGCATTGAACTTACATAAATCAGGATCTGAAATTCTGAATTATGCTCGCTAATCAACTTATTTCATAGATATTGTACCTTAAGAATTCAAGATGTGATGCTGCTAAAACTAGTTTGTGTATCAGTGTATGCTATGTGGTAAACTTTGGACATGATTTCCTTGAAATTTTGATACAGGTTTACTTGTTTACGTTTACAGGTGACTAGTTAAGAATGCATTTTGTCATTACCAAATCAAACATTGTTTTATGACTTCAATTCTGTGCTGCAACTTCTAATTTCCATGCTCATTACTCAATAATATGATGTGGTTGATGAGCTGAATCTGCATCGTATCACAAATCCTTAAATACTTGCTGCTTACTTTCCATTTCATTTCGAGCAGATGAAGATTTCAAGGAATTGGTGTGCCAAGTCCCAGATGGTTGCCGGATCACAATAGTCTCGGATTCATGCCACAGTGGAGGCTTAATTAGTGGTGCTAAAGAGCAGATAGGAGAAAGTACACAGTCTCATCAAGGCCATAGTAGCTCATCATCAGGATTCAGCCTATCTGGTTTCTTGAAGAGTAAAGTGAGGGAGACTGTTTCTGATGCCATTGAATCTCGTGGGATTCATCTCCCTCATCATCACAGTAGGGACTATGAACCCGAGTACAGGGTAGTTGAAGAAGATAGTTACGAAGGTCATAGTGGCTATGTGAAAAGTCGATCTCTTCCTCTTTCTACCCTCATTGAAATGCTCAAGGATAAGACTGGGAAAGATGACATTGATGTTGGGAAAATCCGACCTACCCTCTTTGACATGTTTGGGGAGGATTCTAGTCCTAAGGTCAAGAAGTTCATGAAAGTCATCCTCAACAAGATTCATGGAGGAGAAGGGAGCACCGGGGATATTATAGCTGCTGTTGGTGGACTCGCAATGGAGTTCTTTAAGCAGAAGCTTGATGAAAAAGACGACGACTATGCTAAACCTGCACAGGATGCTGAAGTTGAGAGGAAAGAGGAGGTGTATGCAGGTGAAAACAAGCGTATTTTACCTAGAAATGGGATACTTCTTAGTGGTTGTCAGACTGACCAGACTTCTGCTGATGCTAGCCCTTCTGGGAGAGACAGTGAAGCATATGGTGCTTTCAGCAACTCGATTCAAGCTATACTGAGGGAGTCTGATGGAGACATTAGGAACGATGAGATTGTGACAAAGGCTAGGAAGTTGCTCAAGCGTCAAGGATTCACTCAACGTCCTGGACTTTATTGTATTGATGACTATGTTGAAGCTTCCTTTGTCTGCTAATTATTGTTCTTGGCCTGGTCTGATGTCTGCTACATTGGTATGACATTATAGCATAAACTGAAATGGTGTTTTTGCTTTAGATTGCCCTGCTGTTTCTTTGAGTATGTACTGTTGCGATTGTGGAGAGTTGTAATGTTTATCGTTCAGTTATGAAATTGTCGGCCGGAACCAGTCTTCTTGCTTTGAATGTGGGAACATATATATTTAAGGGTTCTACCCAGAATGAGGGAATATTTCTTGTTCAGTGTATGAGTATGGTTTCTCATTTCGAATCAATGTATGGCTTCGATGTGGAGACTTATGGTTATTAGTCTTATTACTGTATTTGCTTGGGAAACTGACCTTTTTTTCAATGTGATGGACATCAAACTAAGACATATACTGAAGCAAGTTTCATTAGTAAGGTCGAGGAAGAACGATTTATGATGTGCATTGTTGGTAATGGACTAATGGTGTGTGGTTGAAGAACTAATGGGGAAGAAATTTCGTATGTAAAAATATTAAATGGAATTAGTAAAGTTTAATTTACAACGACAAATTTATTTTAATTTAAATTTTGATACTAGTAGATTATATAATCCAATTATGAGTTTTGGTAGAATTGGTCTATTAACATGGTATCAGAGTCAACGCGACACAATGATCATGAGTTTTGGTTGAATTGGTCTATTAACATAGTATCAGAGTCAACGCGACACAATGCTCACGAATTCAAATCTCATCTACCCCTCTTTGGAATACAGCTAAATTTCTTAAAGTTCAATAATCTTGGGCTAAGCTAAATTTCTTAATAACAACATTTCTGATGGCTTTCAAGTCTATTGTGAAACCTTATAATTTTTTACCTACACCCCAACTAGTATTATGTGCACCATGGTACACTTATAAATAGGTGCACCACGTCTATACTTTTGAACATTTAGTAAAAAAAAATTGAATATTTTACAAAAAATGAACATTTAGTAAAAAAAAATATAAACACGTCACAAAAACTGAAGAAACATGCAATTTTTATGTTCAAATTTATAAAGAAATGTTTATTTTGTATACAGTAAATATTCAATTTATATTACAAAACTATTGAATTATTACGAGTCAAACAAACTTCTTTCATAATTTGTTTGACTCGTAATAATTCAAAATTTGTGATTTTGACATATTTTTTTTACTAAATATTCATAATTTGTTATTGTTCATATTTTTTTACTAAATGTTAAAAAATATAGGCATGGTGCATTGCGATTGTTCAAATTTTTTATACTAAAAGTTCAAAATTTGCGATGTTCATATTTTTTTACTAAATGTTCAAAATTCGCGATTGTTCAGATTTTAAACTAAATGTTCAAAAGTATAGACGTGATGCATTGCGATTGTTCAGATTTTTTTAACTAAATATTCAAAATTTGCGATGTTCAAATGTTTTTACTACATGTTCAAAATTTGTAATTATTCAGATTTTCCTACTAAATGTTCAAAAGTATATATTAAAATTTGCGTCGACATGCCCTCATGGAGTCATGGACACACGAGCATAAATTAGAGGTGTTAAAACCAAACCGACCCGAAAAAAATTATCCGTTTGAACTGTAACCGATCCGATTTGATCCGAGAAATTCAAGACCCAACCCGATCTGTAACCGAACTGAACTCAACCCGAATCCGAACTTGACCCGATCTGAACTTAACCCGGCACCAATTTGATTCGACCTAAACTCAACCCGAATCCGATTTGACCCGACCTGAACTCAAACCGAACCGATTTGACCCGACCCGAGCTCAACCTGATCTGAAACTGACCCGAAAAATAACCTATCTAATCCGATCTGTTTTGACCCGAACTGATATTAACCTGATCCGATTTTAACTCAATTTGATTTTTACCCGATCCGAATTTAACCTGATCATAATTAATTATTTACTTTTTTATTCAAGTTCTTATACTATATATTTACTAATTATTAATAAGTTAACTTTTTGACTACAAAGAAATAATCCGGAGTCTTAAGTTTACTTCATGTATATATCAATTATATTAATTTACTTTATAAGCTTTAATAAATGCCACAAGATCTAATAAACGTAAACATTAAGCGGGAGTTAATTGATTTGCTTGTAAAGCTCTAGTTAAATGCTGCCTAAAGCCTATTGTCATTTTTAATGAATTTCCTCCCATTCTATTATATTTTATGAACTAATAATTCTTTTCTCTAACACCTACAATCAATTATATCAATATAAATCACATTACTACTAGTCTGATGCAACCTATAAGAAACAATTATGAAAGCAAAATAAATAAAGTTTTAAAGGATATATCAAGCGCTTACATTTTCATTATAATAATTAAATATATTACATATACATAATCCAATGATTCAAACTTAGGTATTTTTCAGTAATTTCATTTTCATATACAAAATACACTGCATATAATATCATTGCAATGTTTCGACTCCAATAATATGTTATGGGTACGGCTTCCTCAAAAATAACAAAAGCCTTGCACTTCCAAAAAAAATTCTTGACTTCACAAAAAATACAAGGCATGAGATTTTAAACAGCTCCATGCTCATTTAGATGGAAAATCATCACTTGAGTTCACTTCATATTTAATAAGTTCTAATAAGGTTACCCAAGTACAAATTAAGACTAAAATAATAAGTTTTAATAAAGTCTAGTAAGTTCATATAAGTTCAGGTAAGTTAAGATAAGTCAGGTTAGTGAAAATCAGATGAATAGAATACACCCTTATAAACTTAATTATTGTATATTATAGATCATTTAATGTTTAGTTTGATAAATCATATGATTCGTAATATACTAATTAATATTACTTTAAACTTGTTGGAAATATGTTATATTGATAAAACTGAAGTTATTGGTTAAAAGTGCGGAGTACAATTGTGCATGATTGTAGAATTATAGGCGTTATACATCGCACGGTTATATACTCACTACATACATATGTAATAATTTATGCTTTAATAAAAAGAATTTACATAGTAACAATTAACTATCAATATGTATAGCGTCAAGTTTTTAATATACAAATTGAATTAGTAATAAAGTAATTCTAACAACTCTAACAAATATCTTTAAAAAATTGAATCAGTAATAAACTAAACTTAGAAAAAAATGACATACTTTTTTGTATATATCACCATATGTAACTATTATTCGTCAATATATCACTAGCTCGGTCTCACTTCTCACTTATATAGGTATGATAAGTCATCGATAATTATTCAATCTCAATTTTCCTCAAAAATAAAAATTACTCATAACTTGATCAAATGAGAAAATAAAAACTTCGTGCTTCGTAATTAATAATCATATTGACTCAATAATAAGGTAAAAACTAAACAATATCTCTAGTTTAAAAATAACCTTATTTGGATATGAATTTGGTCAACTCGACCAAAATCCAGCCAAACACAAAAAGGAATTGAACCGAAATTGACCGAACCGAAATCATCCGAACCGAAATCAACCCGACCCAAATTCATCCGACCCGAAGTTACCCGGCTAAACCCGTTTTAAACCCGGTCCAAATATATCCGAACCGAAAGTAAATCGATCTGAAGTTGACCCGACCCGTATCCAACCCGGACTCGATAGACCATGACCCGAATTTGACCCGATCCGAGTTAAAAGGATAATTTTAATTCGAACAGACCCGACCCGAATAGACCCGACCCAAACTCCATCTGGTTATCTGAATTGACACCTCTAAGCATAATTAATGATCATTCTTTGAAGGGTGGAGAATTGGAGATGGGTCAAGGCCCAAAAGGAAATTAACGATTATATCAAATATGGACTACAACGTATTAACGGAATTATTTTGCATAGTCCAAGAGTTTTGGGTTGGTATCTAGGAAGTGTTTCCCAAGAATTCCAACTACCAAGAATGTTTAGCCTGTAATAGACTACTCATAATAGGTAGAACGTTGGACATATAGGCTTTGTAGCTAGGCTGCTTTTAGACACCTTGGACACTTTACAATCTAGATTGACATATGTGCTTTGTCGCTCCTAATTGCTTACTCAAATTATGATGATAGGATCATACTTAAGGAGATTTTTTTATAATTGATTGAGTGATACCTTCACCTTTTTAAAAAAAAATTTACTTTTCTTGTTTTTTACTTGATCCACTTTGATTTTTACACTATTCACCATCTCTTTTTTGACTGTGTTTTGTGAATAATATGTAAGGAAAAACATATTCATGTTGGATCATTTTGAATTCGTCTCAATAAGTACTATCATAATATATACGAGTAACTTTTATATTTTTTAATTATGGAGAATTAAAGTTATTGACCGTTAAAAGTTTTACATTGACAAGCGTGATAAAAGAAACATGTCAAGTAAAAAAGAACAAAGAAAGTATAACTTAATAGTGTGGCTTGATACCAGTAGAATACGTTTGTTTGGTTTGTTTATAGATCCCTACCTTATAAAAAGTATGAGATAACTCTTATAAATAACGGTTTAGATAATTATATCCTCTAAAATATTTATTTACTCAATTACCCCCATTAATGTTAATTATCTCTTTTTAAAACTATTAACAATATTGTGCGGACATATATACCCTTATAAATATTTGTGTGCATATTTTCTCTTATTAATGCTACTAGGAGTTTGTTCTGATTGACTGAAATGAACTGGATATTTTATGAGAGAAGAAAATTAAGAATTGATATGAACTGAAAATAAGCTGAAGAGAACAGGCTTTAAGTACTAACAACTAAATTTGTGATGTAAGGCTAAACCGAAAGACCTTCCCGAATATTTCTATTAACTAGTGTCATAAAGAAATTAAACAACGTAACAAGTACATTATTACAAAAATCATCAATAAATTTTGGTTTAATTATTAAAATTGAGATAGTCCTGATTTATAGCGTTGATAAATAACCTGAATAATGATAAGCTCTGACTAGGATTATCCATCATCGAATATACTATATATATGCTCATGTTATATAAGGTACAAACTTTGTAAATAAGAGGGGTGTCATATTAACTATTTAGAGATTCAAGGGAACTAAGAAAGTAAGGAGTAGGATATATGATCCAATGTACAAACTATATAGATAAAAGGGGTATCGGACTAACTAATCATCTAAGTGAAAGGACTAAAAGAAGTAAGTCATGTACTCATGTATCCAAGGTACAAACGCTATAAATAAGAGGTGTCTTAAGCATTCAGAATCCAAGTGAGGGCACTAAAAGGAGTAGGTTGTAATTAATTTTTGGATGCAAATCAATGACTTAATTTGACATGTTTACAATATGAAATCAGTCTCT